CTCACCTCCCACCCCTTCTAATGCGACTAGCCCTGATGCTCCTCCCTCTTTTCCCCTGCCCCTTCCCAAAGTTTCTCCATGCAGGCGGTCACTGAGTCCGAGGTGCTAAAGGAGCTCCTTAAACTTGACCCCAAAAAACCATCTGGGTCAGATGGTTTAGACCCTTTCTTCTTTAAGGTTGCTGCCCCTATCATCGCCAAGCCTATCTCTGACCTTTTTAACCTGTCTCTCCTTTCTGGGGAGGTTCCCATTGTTTGGAAGGCAGCCATGGTGCATCCTTTATTTAAAGGGGGAGATCAAGCTGATCCTAACTGTTATAGGCCAATTTCTATTTTGCCCTGTTTATCAAAAGTGTTGTAAAAACTTGTCAATAATCAACTGACTGGCTTTCTTGATGTCTATAGTATTCTCTCTGGTATGCAATCTGGTTTCCACCCAGGTTATGGATGTGTCACTGCAACCTTAAAAGTCCTAAATGATGTCACTATTGCCCTTGATTCTAAGCAATGTTGTGCTGCTATTTTTATTGACTTGGCCAAAGCTTTTGATACGGTAGACTATTGCATTCTTGTGGGCCGGCTAAGGAGTATTGGTGTCTCTGAGAGGTCTTTGGCCTGGTTTGCTAACAACCTCTCTCAAAGAGTGCAGTGTATAAAGTCAGAACACCTGCTGTCTCAACCAATGCCTGTCACCAAGGGAGTACCCCAAAGCTCGATCCTAGGCCCCACTCTCTTCTCAATTTACAACAACACAGCTCAGGCAGTAGGAAGCTCTCTCATCCATTTATATCCAGATGATACAGTCTTAAACTCAGCTGGCCCCTCCCTGGATTTTGTGTTAAACGCTCTACAACAAAGCTTTCTTAGTGTCCATCAAGCTTTCTCTGCCCGTAACCTTGTTCTGAACACCTCCAAAACAAAGGTAATGTGGTTTGGTAAGAACAATACCCCTCTCCCCACCGGTGTGATTACTACCTCTGAGGGTTTAGAGCTTGAGGTAATCACCTCATACAAGTACGTGGGAGTATGGCTAGACAGTACACTGTCCTTCTCTCAGCACATATCAAAGCTGCAGACTAAGGTTAACTCTAGACTTGGCTTCCTCTATTGTAATCGCTCCTCTTTCACCCCAGCTGCCAAACTAACCCTGATTCAGATGACCATCCCACCCATGCTAGATTACGGAGACGTAATTTGTAGATCGGCAGATAAGGGTGCTCTCGAGCGGCTAGATGTTCTTTACTATTCGGCCATCAGATTTGCCACCAATGCTCCTTATAGGACACATCACTGCACTCTATACTCCTCTGTAAACTGGTCATCTCTGTATACCCGTTGCAAGACCCACTGGTTGATGCTCATTTATAAAACCCTCTTAGGCCTCACTCCCCCCTATCTGAGATACCTACTGCAGCCCTCATCCTCCACATACAACACCCGTTCTGCCAGTCACATTCTGTTAAAGGTCCCCAAAGCACACATATCCCTGGGTCACTCTTCTTTACAGTTCGCTGCAGCTAGCGACTGGAACGAGCTGCAAAAAACACTAAAACTGGACAGTTTTATCTCCATCTCTTCATTCAAAGACTCAATCATGGACACTCTTACTGACAGTTGTGGCTGCTTCGCGTGATGTATTGTTGTCTCTACCTCTACCTAATAATGTTTGTACCATTTTTTTTCTGCTACCATGTTGTGCTGCTGCAATGTTGTGTTGCTACCATGCTGTTTTGTCATGTGTTGCTGCCATGCTATGTTGTTGTTTTAGGTCTCTCTTTATGTAGTGTTGTGGTGTCTCTCTTGACGTGATATGTGTTTTGTCCTATATTTTTATTTTGAATCCCAGCCCCCATCCCAGCAGGAGACCTTTTGCCTTTTGGTAGGCCGTCATTGTAAATAAGAATTTGTTCTTAACTGACTTGCCTAGTTAAATAAAGGTTAAATAAAAAATAAAAATAAAATAAAAATGTGAAATAGATAATAAACAAAAGTGAAATAAACTATAAAAAATGAACAGTAAACATTACACTCACAAAAGTTCCAAAGGAATAGAGACATTTTGAATGTCATATTATGTCTATATACAGTGTTGTAATGATGTGCAAATAGTTAAAAGACACTCTCTCCTCAGTTTCCAATTAATTTCACTTTCAAAGGATTGAGTATCTAGACTAGAAGAGATTCCAGGAATCCCATTGATAAAGCGTTCCTATTGCGATATTGTCTCAACATGTCTTCAAGGACCTTCACTCTCTCAAACAACTTATCTTTGATCATTTGACAATCCCCAGCAAATAGGAATCAATGGTATTCTTTGTAAACTGGTCAGAGTGCAGGGTGAGAGAACTGCTAAATAGAGTACAATGATCTGGACCTAGAACCCATCCAACACAATCTGTTTGCAACATGTTCTACGATGTGTATGTGTTATATCTCAACACAATTCTCAACCTGTGTTATTTCTCAACACAAGTCTTGTGTGGTTGAATGACCTCCCTGTGAGATTAACACCTGCAAGAGGTTGAGATGCAATCAGAACCTCAATCATTCTGAATGAAAGGCTTAAATAGTGGAAAATGTGTGTAAACTATTTTTTTTCTTGCTCGCCCTCTCTTTGTTGGTGACCACAGCTGATCACAAATCAGGTTCTCCATCTACCCTTCCATTCTAGTATTTGCCCCTGTCACTCTTCCAAAAGCCTCTCTGTCACCAAGGTCCCATTGACAGTGTGACTGTGGTGCATCCCAAATGGCACCCTATTCTAAAAGTAGTACTCTAAGTAAGGAATGGTGTGCCATTTAGAACAAAACCTGTGAGATTCCAGAACTGGTTGAATGGTGTAAGATATGAGGAACTTTCTCTGTTACATAATATTTCCCACTGCGCACAGACGTCAATTCAACGTATATTCGACGTTGGTTCAGCGTAATTTCATGGAAATGGCTTGGAAACAACATTGATTCAACCAGCGTGGGTGGTGGACCTCCCTCTTAGTGATTTATTGTAAATGAAAATGACTCTGACCTATGACCTAATTTTAAGCTTCTCTTTCTAAAAAATAAAAAGTGATTCGAATATTTAGGCAAGTTAGCTGGCTAACTCCTTGATCCTGTTTGGTAGTATACCCCTCAGGAGAGACATACTAAGTCTATACCCTGATATCCTGACAAACTCTGACACTTGAGCTATTACAACTCACCTAAAGCTCAGGCTGCCTGGATTTCCCTTATCACTTCAGGCAGTGACATCAGAGGGGCTGTCTTTTAGCTAGGGTCTGTCATTTTCAATAAAAAAATATAGTTGCCTGAAGGAAGCCCCAGTGTTGAGAGGCTGTCGCTGTGGAAGCTTCCTGAGGCCAGAGGAAGATGCTATGGGAACTCCCTGTATTGTACCACTGAAGTCTAAAGTCTATCTCTAGTGCCCCAATGCCAGTCATGGGACCCCTAACAATGTGGTCCTCTGTAGCTCAGCTGGTAGAGCACGGCGCTTGTAACGTCAAGGTAGTGGGTTCGATCCCCGGGACCACCCATACACAAAAATGTATGCACGCATGACTGTAAGTCGCTTTGGATAAAAGCGTCTGCTAAATGGCATATTAAAATGCCAGCTGGCCAGCAGAGACGTAATCCTAAAGTAACTGTCCAGAAGATGTCAGTAAACACAGCTTTCTACTCCTTCTAAATACTGACTGCTGAGCAAAACAAGGGGTTTTCCTACGATAAAACCTGCTTTGCCACCTCCAAAAGACAAACATGGAGGGAACCACTCTAAGTAAAGTCTGTGAACTTTAACCTTTACCTCAGTCTCCATACCTCCCAGACACACTTCTGGTTCCTGACATTTAGGGTCAGGTCATAATGACATCAAGTCATACCACAGATTTGTGATCAGTCACTTCAGACAGGAAGGTCCAAGGGATATACATCCGAACAGCACTGTCATGTGTCTGTCTTTGGGATTCTATCAATCTTTCTTACGTGCGGGACATTCCGTATCTAGTATCAACTCATCTTTCATGAACCTGTGACTGCTGTCCCTCCCTGAAGTCTTTTGAGATGGTCTGTGAAGAGAAGGCTAACTTCCCTGGCCTTCACAGATTAAGTCAGTGTATTCTACGATGTTGAAGGACTCCAACGCATTCTATTATGCATATTTACAGTGAGCCTGCTAGACATTCAAGAAGAGTCAATAAGAATTATGGCGGGCACATGTTTACATTTTTATTTTAGTATCCATAGTTCAAAGCATGATTCTAAATTGTTAATCATAACACCGTCACCATTGCGTAACTGACAGCAGCAATTAGAGGAATCTGCCTAATTTAACTATGGCTTTGAGACAGCGCTATCTGGAAACATCAAAGTTGTGTCAATTAAGTTCAGATGGTTAAAAAACCAAAGCTGCACCAGTTCTGAATTGGAGAACTTTGGCCAATCTAAGAAATGGGATTTAAACATGTGCTTAGAGCCGTTCCAAGAATTTAAAACATTGTTTTCCCAAATGGAGCGTGCTGCATGTATTTTGAATGTAACAGCAATCACAACAGGACAGAGCAAATAAGAGGTAAAAACATTCCACTGTAGGGTCCAGTGTGTATGAGTCTGTATTGTCAGAGTAGGCCAACAGTCTAGCCACAAATCACCTCAGTAATTAATTTGTCAAAATCAGCTTCCCTAGTATCAATGACTGACTGTCACCTATTGGTATAATTTTACCATGCACAAAACTCAGAAGCATTTGAAGGCATTCCTTCATGTTGAGTCAGTAGGTCGAACAATGATCATCTGGCAGAGTCTATGGTTATCATTGGTTGAGGTCAGGGTGCATAACAGTTACAACCACAGTGTTGTCAGCGCTATGTAACAAACCTCAGCCCAGGCAGAGGGGGTGGTAAAATGAAGCATATAAACCTTTATTGAACAGCTTTTTGGAAAAATATTTACAAAGTGAATATACAGCAAAAGACATACTGTTCAAGGGATTCAAGTATGCAACAATGGGGGGGGGGGTTAAAACAAAAACTACTTTAACAGGAGGGAGAAGGAGATGTCAGACAAGTGATTATGGGGGAAAACAAACAAACAACTTTTGTATAAACCATGGTGTACATTTCCAACTGTAACTACATATCAATTGAGGAACCAGTACCTACCAGTATTGGGATGAGGAATAGGTCCATTAAAAAGCGACAAATCACCCATCCCTGTTTCTCCTCATCGGTCCCATTCCCAGTAAATAACACCGTCCTATCACTAAAATATGTACAAAAGCACAGACTTTCACCTGACTGCTCTGCACTAATACTATGGCTAAACATGCTGTAAATAACAAAAAAAGTGGAGACATGGAGAACAGTCCTGAGAGGCAGGAACAGGGACGGGGTCGAAGGTCAGTTGGGTGAGGAAGGGGTGTTATTGCGCCTCGTCCTCGGGACAGGAGTGCCAGGTCAGCCTCTCCTCATAGAAGGAGATGACCACCTGAGGGCAGCGGGTGTTGGCCTCACGGGCCGGGACCAGGTCCGCCTCGTCTGAGTCTTTCCTGTAGAGCAGAGGGACGTTGGTTTTATTAGTGGCTATTGATCAGAATAATAACACTCACCTATTCAGCAAGTAGCACTGATCAGGATAATAAAGTTCAGGTGCACATTAGAAAACTAAAATGTGAATTTTCCAAAGGCACAAGTACAGTAATATTAGGAGGTGAACAACGTTATATCAGGGAAGATCAATTATATGAGGGATGGCTCTTGGGCTGTGCAACCCTGAAAAATGAGTGATATTTGAGAGGAACAGCACAGGTGAAGAGTTCATGTTTTGCAATTTGAGACTCACCACTTCATCAAGAACATAAGTTCTCCACTACTGTCTGTAGCACCGATTATCCTCTCTGGATCCAGGCTCCTGGCAAAGCCCCGTGGTTTGTCACTCTGAAACACACGGTACAGAAATAAACCACAGCTCCCATGCAACCAGTCTGGAAACCATGACAAACTGATAAAATAACTATTGCACTTGCAGACTAGCCTATACACAAAATAGTTAGGCCTACAAAAACACAAAATCCTACAACATTGATTTGAAACAAAAACACGGGTTAATTCGGACACTCACCACATCCTTCTTCTTCTTGGCTTTGTTTCCCTCCGTCTCTGGCTCATCTGTTGAAGACTTCCGCTTGTTGGAGTCAGGCTTCTCCACCACGGTCTTCTGGGCTTCCAAGAAAGCTGAGATCAGCTCTGGACAATCCAGGTTATCCTCTGGCTCCCAAGTGTTATCCGCTCTGAAAGGAAAGATACAGAAGTCAGTGGCAATTTCTTCTCCTGCTCATTTCAAAAGACTATCAGCATACTGGTAAGAAGAGTAAAACATGCTCTAGAAATGCAGCAAACTATTTAAATACATTTTACAAGAGCTTATATCTGTAACTAAAATGGAAGTCTTTGAAATTCAATTCAAAATGCAGATTATTTCAACTAGCTAGGTTCTGCAGGAGATGTATGCCACACAAGCACAGCCCCATACCAGGGAAGCACTTCCAGGCAGAAGGTAGGCGGGCGGAGGTCCCCGGAACTGTGCACTCACTCTGTAAATCCTTTCCACTTGAGGAAGAATTCCACCTTCCCGTTGACGATGCGCTGGTCCATCACCTTCTCCACAACATACTCCTCCGGCGGCTCTGCCTCCAGCACCTCCTTCTTCCCTTTGCCATTCTGCTTTTTACCCATGTTAGGCTGCGAAACAAGAGGGGAGGAGGTTTTCATCTTTTTAAAGAGACGAATTTGGGTTTTAATAACATGAGACCACCTGACACAATGCTTACACAGGCTATAGTCCAGACTAGCAATACAATATTAATATCAGATTGTTTTTCAAGTGATACTGTGACACCCAACGTGCCATTTCCTCATAGGGGATGATGAGCTGGCCAATCAGCGGTCTACTCGCATAAATATTTTTTAGGCCCGGTATACGACCACACCATAGCTTGTAGTCCTAAAAACCAGCAATGAGTTAGCATTTTCTACCCCTAGTTCATTGGTCATTCCTATTGGGGAAATGAATGGGTTTTTGGTCTATACCCCGAAAATAAGATTTACACAGGCTTAGATCTTATGCATTTTGTTCTATGAGATCAGTTAACATGACCTTTATGAATAATGAAGACTATGTGCTCAAATTAAGTCAGTTGCTGATTAGTGGCTAACTATCAGAAATGGAACTACAACATCAATAGCAACATTTCTCACGTCACTACGCCGACCACGCAAATTAGTCCCGATACACGAGTTCGCCAAAAGGCTAGTTAGCTTTCCGCCTACCAGCTCGAACGAAAACGCAAGGATGGTATATTGTTTTGCTCCAGGCTGCAACCATCTCTTCAGCAGGAAGGTGCTCGTTTTATTGTTTCCCAAATGATGTTGTCCATAGGAGACTTTGGGTCCATCTGATAATGTAAGCTAAGCCTGTTAGCTAGAAGTCAAAAGGTATACGCTTTATTTAATTTTTACATATTAGCAGGTCACTAGATTTTTACTTGTTTTGATTACATAAATGCTTAAATGGATTAGGTTTAGCTATCCCCCTTGGCTTTTGAAGAATATACAAGCAGTGGTGAAATGGCCAAAATTACCTTTATTCACCCAATACATTTACACACAATTATTGTATGCAAAATGAGGCCTTAGTGTTAGCACATCGTTATCTTTTGACTGGTTTTGATTACATAAATGCTTAAATTCCCAAAAAAGCTGATGAAGATCATTTCATAGAACAAAAGGGAAGCCATTACTATTGCGTTCCATTCTGTTGAGGTACACCCACACCATTCCAACACAGAAAAGTTGCTTTTAACATACTTCATTACCATTTTTTGGAAGGAAAACTATTTCACTCATATTGTAATCAATTATAGGTCATATTTAATACAAATCTGTTTACACTGGATAGTTACTTTAAAAGTTAAAAGTAGTGATACCTCTTACCCAAATATAGTGTTACCCATCGTTTTCTGTAATTATCCTTAACTAGCTAGCTATGATGAACATGTTTCTTCGCTGATAGTTGTTTGTTCTAACAGATCATGCTCACATGCTAAAAGTGGAGGGGAATCGCTTATGGAGCTAGACTAGGCAGCCGATAGTGCAGATGTAGCGCCCTCTATCGTCTAGGATTGATGTGCATTACCGGTAATACACTCGCATCCCCGGTGAACCGGCTTGTACATAAAGCATAATCCATTCCGCTGCCAGGCATAATTACCCTCCTTAACCATCGAATGGCGAGCAGCCGGAAAAAAGACGTGAAAATGTGTAACGTCTTAATAAAACCATTTCAACCACCTTGTAGTGCAGATCCAGCGCCCACTATAGGCTGCCTAGGCTATTATGGAGCTCGTGCGTTTTGCACTTCATCAATCATTCCTCTATCCTCACACAGACAATGCTAACAAAATAACTTTGTTAGCTAGCTAAATAAAAACGGCACACAGGTTGTAATTGTATTTTATGTAACGTTACTGTTAGCTATATTGGCTTCTAGCCAACGTTAGCTGTTTATATCTACATAATCTAACGTTATAACTACAGATTCCGTTGCCCCCCCCCCCCCCCCCCAACTAGAGAATATTTTTCAGGCCTAGGGCTAGTCTAATGCTTGCATTGACTGTACTAACAAGCTTAGTAGTTCCTCAAAGCTAACTACTCAATTGAACACAACTAAATTGTGTTAACTGAGTGTTAACATTAGTTAACTAGACATTGTGGGGTAGTTTGTTAGTTTGCTTGCGAAGTGGAATTTAGCAATCTTAGACTTCGTTAGCAAACTTCCAAGGCTTAGCTAGCTACCAGACGTTTGGGTTGGCACAATGGCCGGCTCAATTGTGATTGCAAGGCCCAAAAGCTGCAAATGGAACATTCCATTAGCACTTGTTAGTTGATTAGGCAGTGAGAATCAGATATTCCTTTGATAAAGGGCAGCTAGCTGACTATCAAGCGAAGTTACATAGCTACGCGTGCTAGCTAGTTAACTAGCTAGCGCAATTAAATCCCTTTGTCAGCGTAGCTTTGGTAACATTAGCTAGCAAAGCTGTAACGTTAGTAACCAAGTTGGCTACTGTGGCTGGACGGCACAAATATGCATAACATCAATGATCAGTCTACACTACACGTTGCATAATAATTCGAAGTTGGATCTTGAGGGACTCACCTTGCAAATCAATAAAAACCTAATGTAGAATGGACGACGGAAAGAAAGCAAGCAGCTTCGTTCTCTTCTCACCCGCGTGTGGTGCAGAATGTTGCAGCTGCGCGAGCGCCAAAAAAAACCCTGCCTTTTTCTACGGGTGCCGCTAGGGTACCTATTAACTCAACTTCGTACTGTGGATGTTTCAAAAGAAATCGTTGAATCCAGTCCCAAACAAGGAATTTTAAAGCCACATTCTGTAAGATTTCCAATAATGAGAATTAATGGAATAGGCTTAGCTAGCCCCCTTAGCGTTTGAATAATATTTACGAAGTGGTGAAATTATCAGAATTCACAATCACCTTTATTCGACAAATACATTTACACATACTCAGAATTGTACTTATTGGTAATATGGTGCTGCTAGTGATAGACAACATTTAGATACAGAATAGAGACAAAGGTGTTAACATACATTATACACAAATAGGTAGAGTGAGCATAGAGCTATAATAGAATGAGCAGTTGATATACAAATATACAGTGGATGATTCAGTTGATATAGGGTGAATTATGAAAAAGTAATATAAACTGGACAGCTTAATCCTGAAGTGTTTATTTCATCGTCTGACAAGTAAAAATCTAAACTATTGTTACTGATGCGGCGTTCAAACACAACTGGGAACTTGGAAAAATACGCGGGTCAAATATGGGTGGTCCTCTGTAGCTCAATTGGTAGAGCATGGCGCTTGTAACGCCAGGGTAGTGGATTCGATCCCTGGGACCACCCATACGTAAGAATGTATGCGCACATGACTGTAAGTCGCTTTGGATAAAAGCGTCTGCTAAATGGCAAATTATTATGACCTCTGTGATCTTCAGGTCTGATAGTCAGAGCTCTAAAAAGACTCCAGTTTCCGCGTTGAAATTTCGAGTTGGAAGACTGTTCAAATAGATTTTTCCCAGTCGGAGCTCGTTTTTTCCCGCCGAGTTCCCAGTTGTTTTGATCGCGCTGAAGTCGAAGTTGGAGAATTCCGAGTTCCCAGTTGTTTTGAACACGGCATAAACCCTTGCAGAGAAACCACATTATCAAAATAATTTAATTGGTGTGACATCATAGGGCAGCGCAAGCTTCAAACAGGGAGCTCACACTGCCAGGAAATGGCACAGGGTAAGATCAGTGACATAGCTTTTTTTTCTGTTTTGATTTTAAGGTTATACAACTTGCATAAATAATGCACTGTGAACAATTGTGATGTAAATGTAAATACTATGTACTGGTGCATCAAAATAAAAATAAAAAGTTGCCAATATGATGTTACAATTTTGTAATTCAGTCAGTTGTCCCACTTTACCAACCATAGCTAGCTAAAGTAGGACAGCATGGAGTAGCTAAAGTGGGACAGTCTTATAGGCTTTTCCAATGGAGGAAAGATATCCAGTTTACATTAGGGACCCCCTGTACTTAGGTTAGGCAGGGCTCTGGTTCTTGTTGTACTGTTATCTTGTTAATTTTTGGCACCAATGGCACCAAGCAGAACTACAGTAGGGTGAATTCAGAAAAAGTGGGAAACTTTTTGCATTTCCGTCTTCTGTAACCACTTATGTAAAGTCGGTCGATCCTGTCGTTTTTTTATAAAGAGCACCTACCTACACATGTGAAGCTTGGTTATGTAAGATATGCTGTAAGAGCTTTCGTCCCCAAACCACTGCAGTGTAAATATTTTTAGGGATTTGGCCATGTTTCAAGTGTGTGCAGACGGACAGGGTATACTGAAGAACGATGTGTAGAAGGACGACGGTGTTGTAATTGTGGTGGGGATCATGATCCCGAGTTCCTGGAGTGCCTTGTAAAGGTGAAGGAGATTGAGGTGTCAAAAGTTAGAGGTCAATCGAATCTCCTATGCAGAGGCAATTCAAATAGTTGAGAAACAGTGGAGGCTCCTCAGAGGAGGAAGGGGAGGACCATCCTCCTCAGTGAATATCATAAAAATAAAAATGGTCAAACAAGTAATGCTTTTTAGATAAAACTATACTAAATATATTGATTGAAACACACTGTTTTGCAATGAAGGTGTACAGTAGCTTTAACAGCACTCTGTAGGGTAGCACCATGGTGTAGCCGGAGGACAGCTAGTTTCCATCCTCCTCTGGGTACATTGACTTCAATACAAAACCTAGAAGGCTCATGGTTCTCACCCTGTTCCGAAGACTGTACTGCAAGATTGTAGCGGGTTTACTAACGCGTTAGTTCTAGTAACTATGTTGACTATGATGTTACTAACATTGTTAGCTAATATGGTGACAACGATGTAGGCTGTGTAGCGGTTATGATATGAAGGTTTGGCTTGGAAAGGCTTTTTCGCCTGGCCACAGACAGCTCATGTGTTGTGCACTGAAGTCCACAAGCGAAGGGAAAAAGTGAGAGGAGGAGAGCGCGTAGATGCGACAAATAATTATACAACGAGCAAAATGTTAATGCTGTTGTTTGTATGTGGCTGCTATGAAAGTGAACTGTGTTTGCATTTCATCAGGGGTATATTCCGCCGATTCTGTTGAAAAACATTTCTTAAACGGAAGCAAACGGATCGAAACGGGGAAAAACATACCTACATTTGTCCAATAGAAACTCTCGTTTGCAACTGTTGGACTAATGATTACACCCTAGATTAGCTAGATGCAGGCAAGTGTGTGCAAGGCGGTATTGAATGTGTCACTGTCTGTCACCTTGATTACTCAATTTTCTCTCGACCTGTTCACCTACGTTGTACATTTTCATTCATTCACATTCACATTTTCATTCATAGGCTAGGTTGGAGCAACCTCAGTGGTCCTCTGTAGCTCAGCTGGTAGAGCACGGCGCTTGTAGCGCTTGTAACGCCAAGGTAGTGGGTTCGATACCCGGGACCACCCATACACAAAAAAAATAATACGTATGCACGCATGACTGTAAGTCGCTTTGGATAAAAGCGTCTGCTAAATGGCATATTATAATTATGAAGGGTATAGGGAAAATGTGTGTATCATGTTGTAGCCTAAACCTATTGATGTTAGATTGAGCTGAGTAAATGGAATATGAATGACAGTCATCCAATATGCTGTAATAGAAATAAGGCCATGCTCATCATTTTTAAAATCTACCGCCACTGGTATCAAGAATGGTCCACCACCTAAAGGACATCCAGCCAACTTGGCACAACTGTGGGAAGCATTGGAGTCAACATGGGCCAGCATCCCTGTGGAACGCTTTCGACACCTTGTAGAGTCCATGCCTCGACAAATTGAGGCTGTTCTGAGGTCAAAACGGGTGCAACTCAATATTAGGAAGGTGTTCCTAATGTTTGGTATATTCAGTGTTTATCTAAATGCAGAGAGATGAATGCAATTGCAGTATAGTGCAATTATTTTGTGTACAGTTCAGAGATGGCTTGATGTGGTGTGCAGCATAGAGTGTATGTCCTTTAGTCTCTATGGGCCAGATGGCCACTTGGTGAGGGCCACAGCACAGGGAAAGAAACTGTTCAGTTGGTGGATGGTTTTGGTCATGATTTACCTTAACTGCCTGTCAGAGGAGAGTTTTTGTAAAAGGGAGTGATTTGGGTAGGGTTTGTTGATAATCTTTTCTGCACGCTTCCTTGCCCTGGAGTCGTGCAGGACCTAGGTGGATGGCAGGTGGCAGCCGACTTCCCTCTCTGCAGACCGGACAATGCGTTGCAGTATGCCCTTGGAGCGCAGGCAGACCCAAACCAGACGGTGATCTGTTTTTGGAACCCTGATAGGGGGTCCGGGGGCATGCACCCCCGGAAAAACTATGAGATTTGAACAATGTAACCGTCTTACCTTATAGTAAGTCAAATAATCTAAGAATTACTATTGTTTTTATCATGTACAGTGAGGGAAAAAAGTATTTGATCCCCTGCTGATTTTGTACGTTTGCCCACTGACAAAGAAATGATCAGTCTATAATTTAATGGTAGGTTTATTTGAACAGTGAGAGACAGAATAACAACAAAAAAATCCAGAAAAACGCATGTCAAAAATGTTATACATAGATTTTTCATTTTAATGAGGGAAATAAGTATTTGACCCCTCTGCAAAACATGACTTAGTACTTGGTGGCAAAACCCTTGTTGGCAATCACAGAGGTCAGACATTTCTTGTAGTTGGCCACCAGGTTTGCACACATCTCAGGAGGGATTTTACATTTACATTTACATTTTAGTCATTTAGCAGACGCTCTTATCCAGAGCGATTTACAGGAGCAATTAGGGTTAAGTGCCTTGCTTAAGGGCACATCGACAGATTTTTCACCTAGTCGGCTCGGGGATTAGAACCAGCGACCTTTCGGTTACTGGCACAACGCTCTTACCCACTAAGCTACCTGTCCCACTCCTCTTTGCAGATCTTCTCCAAGTCATTAAGGTTTTGAGGCTGACGTTTGGCAACTCGAACCTTCATCTCCCTACACAGATTTTCTATGGGATTAAGGTCTGGAGACTGGCTAGGCCACTCCAGGACCTTAATGTGCTTCTTCTTGAGCCACTCCTTTGTTGCCTTGGCCGTGTGTTTTGGGTCATTGTCATGCTGGAATACCCATCCACGACCCATTTTCAATGCCCTGGCTGAGGGAAGGAGGTTCTCACCCAAGATTTGACGATACATGGCCCCGTCCATCGTCCCTTTGATGCGGTGAAGTTGTCCTGTCCCCTTAGCAGAAAAACACCCCCAAAGCATAATGCTTCCACCTCCATGTTTGACGGTGGGGATGGTGTTCTTGGGGTCATAGGCAGCATTCCTCCTCCTCCAAACACAGCGAGTTGAGTTGATGCCAAAGAGCTCCATTTTGGTCTCATATGACCACAACACTTTCACCCAGTTCTCCTCTGAATCATTCAGATGTTAATTGGCAAACTTCAGACGGGCATGTATATGTGCTTTCTTGAGCAGAGGGACCTTGCGGGCGCTGCAGGATTTCAGTCCTTCACGGCGTAGTGTGTTACCAATTGTTTTCTTGGTGACTATGGTCCCAGCTGCCTTGAGATCATTGACAAGATCCTCCCGTGTAGTTCTGGGCTTATTCCTCACCGTTCTCATGATCATTGCAACTCCACGAGGTGAGCTCTTGCATGGAGCCCCAGGCCGAGGGAGA